AGAGAGAGAGAGAGAGAGAGAGAGAGAGAGAGAGAGAGAGAGAGAGAGAGAGAGAACACTGGAGAGGAGACTTTCATGTAAATAAACTGAAAGGTTATAAAACGTGATCCATTCTTCAACCTGTTACTGGTGTAGAGGCAGCAAATTCATCTCCTTAGGGGGTTATAAGTAAGCAATGTCAGAAATACATTACATTTGCCTTTTTCCCTACTCTTTGAAGCAAATGGAGGACTGAAGTATTTAAACTGACATGCTGAGCCATGTCTTTACCATAATTTTCTCTGTGAAAACTCTTTTTAAACTGTAAAGAAATAGTAGTAGCACTCTTATAGGAAAAAATAATAGTATCTGTATAGAAAATAATGAGTGTCATTCTCGCTGCTCTTGTAATGGAAGCTCAGGGATTCTGAGGAGGATTTTTTTTTCCCAGTACTGCTGATTGAACTCAGGACTTTGCGCATGTCAGACAAGCACCTATTCTACTGAGCTATCTTCCTGGCCCCAGCTCAGTGATCCTGAAAGTGAGACCTTGTTTACAAAAAAGTTCCATTGAGGAGAATGTTTGTCAATTAGATTCATTTGTAACCCTGACAAAGTAAGTTTTATACACCTTTGACACAAATACAGTGTAAAACATAAAAAAAAAACATACAAATGTATAGTACAGTCAGTAAGTCCTGACTGCACTATACTACTGCACACTATCACACTGTACAGTAAGCACACAGCAGCACAACTGTGACAATATGCAGGAGAAACCTGAGCTACTTCTGCAATTTGTTTGCATCTAGGAATGTTCATAATGCAAGGTCTGCTGGTGTCTGCAAAAGTTCACAACTCAAATGTTTGTAAGTTGATGACTTGCTATATAAAGACAGCACCTATTTGTGGAAAGCATTTACAGATCACATGGAGACTTCATTGAATCCACAATCTCATTATGATTTGGTGACTGATGAGTTTTGTGAAAATAGTTAATGTTTCATCATGCAGAAGCTGGTGGGCTCTAAGTACTCAGATTTTCTCTAAAGCATCATAATTTGGCATCAGCAAAATAGGAAGCACTAAGCAACCATACTTAATGTGCCACAGGTGGTCTCATACATTCTATGTGAAAAGATTGAACTAATGATGGAGTACCACCATGCTTCAGTTTTCATGAATCCTCTGCTTTTTCAGTGTTTAACAGTTGTTGGGAGCTGCAGGAAGCTAGGATATTGATCAAATATGTGTAGGTGGGACTGGGCCTCAGTGCCTAAAGCAAACAGGCTACCTCACTCCTGAGAGAAACATCTTGTCTGGTTAAAGTTGGCTATTAGTCTCTAGGCAACCTTGTATCATGTGTTACAAACTTTGCAAAAATATAAATAAGTGATCATTTTGTTGTGCTGTTGAGTTAGTCTTGCCCATCAGGCAGACTAGTGACCAGCTAGCCCAGCTTTTGTCTTCTTGTCTATCTTTCTCATTCTTGCCACCATGTCTCCCAGGGTAGAACTGTTCACAGTAAGACCAATGGCTCTCTATAGTCAATCAATCCCTTACTATGAAACAAAAGTTAAAATTTACCTCTTTCCAGAGGGAAACAGGTCAAAGCCTTCATTTATCTTTTCAAAAGGTAAAACATTGGTTATTATTGGATCCAGTGGAAAATTCTTTGCCATAAAATCTGTCACAAGTTTGGGGACAGAATCTTTACTCTTAAAGCCTGAAAGAAAGACAACTACTGTCAGATATAACAAGGATAAGCAGAACTGGAGAGGAGACTTTCAAGTAAAAGTAAACTGAAAGGTTATAAAAAGTGATCCATTCTTCAGACTGTTACTGGTGAGGAGGGTGTGGGATGCCTGGTTTCCACATTGGTTTTTAGTGTGCTTTAATATCTCAAATAAATTTGGGTACATAAGTAGCTGTATAATCCTTATTAGCACTTTTTTTTAGAAAAATATGACTGCCCAAAGCCAAAGAGCAAATTTACAGTTCTCGCAAAGTAGATGCTGATGACTGCTGTACATTTCTCATGTGTGACCTACTAGGAGATTTAGTGTCTTGTGTATTCACAGGTGTAAAAAGATCAGCCACTGGAAGTTTCTGGTTACTTTCTCTCTGCATTTATTCCATAAGTTATGCCCAAGTAGTCTGGAACACTAGAGAAGTCTGTCCTGGGACTTTGTCTCTACATGTATTCCATATCTAGTTGTTTTAAAACTATAAATACAACAGGACTTTTAATTGCATTTTACCAAAAGTGCTTTTCCAATCATGAAAAGCACTTGTATAAGGAAAAATTTTTGAGGTTAATACAAATTTGGTCCTCACACTTTACTACCTACTACCAAAGATGGTTCCTATCCATGTTCGTCCAGTCAACAGCAGCATGGGGTGCACAGGGAGGGTCTGAGAAACAGGAGGGGCTCCTACAATGACACTCACTCCAAATGGCTTATCACAGCAGAGCAAGGCAGAGGCCTGGAATAAATACCAATAAAGTTTTTAGCACCCTAAAAGTAAATCTCTGGTCACACTGTTCATGGTATACAATATCATGCAAATTTTAATTAATTAGATTTACCTGTGTGGAGCAAAGTATGTCTTCCTTTTTTTCATTGTCCCTTGAGTGTAGCACCTGTTGTTTTGAAAAATGGTTGAAAAACATTTGTTGAATTAAAGAATGGATGAATGAATGTCTTCCTTATAAATCTATGAGGAGCCAGATATTGTGACAAATACACAAAGCCTGGTTTGTCAGAGAGGTTGCTGGTTATTTTGTCATAATTCACAGGTAAAATGATAGCCCATTACTTCATTACTCATTTGTCTCAAGACTGTCTGTTGATGAAAAATAAACATTCATGATTATTCTCATCAAATTGGTAATTTTTGGTCATAAGAGGTTCCTGTAATATCTATTACTAAAAAGGACATTTTAAATTATATTTTTTATCCATGGAATATACCCTGGTTTTATTTTAAACTACACTTATGCTGGAACCCTAATAGGCAATAACAAAATCCTTTCCTCCAGGGAGTGTTTTTTAGTAAAAAAAAAAAGAAAGAAAAAAAGAAAGAAAAAGAAAAATTGTGTATATCTTCAAGATGTGGAATTGATTTAGACTCTTAATTTTGAAGTATGAAATCTGGATGAGTACATAACCTCAGAACATCTTTTGATGTCTTCAAAGAAAGGACCACACGAGAAAACAACAATAACAACAACAACAACAACAACAACAACAACAACAACAACAAAAGCAGCATTTCAGTACAGTGAAACCTTGGAAAAAGTTAGATTTTTTTGAAATGGCTATATGTGGTATATGATCGCAAGCCAAGACTACAATAGCTTTTCTCTTGAAGTACAATTCTGCATTAGCAACACAGGTGGGATTCAGTGGTGAACCAAAGCAAAAATGGGGATGTGTTGGTCTTTAGGGACTTATTCAGCACAGTTATAGAGACCTCTGGCTGGGTAAAATGTGGATGAAGAGGTGTTCTCTCCATGCCAGCTGACATTTGAAATAGCTTGAAAGTAATATCTCATAAATTTCAAGATTGATCTAAGCACTGAAAGCTTGGAAACAGTATTTCATATTAATGACATCAGCTGACTTTCATGCAGAGCTTAACATTTGAGAGATGACATCATGAGAAGTATTTCATATGCATTCACTCATGTAATTTAAAACATTGCTCTAAAATAAGTGTTATTGTTGGGGGACAGTATTTCATTTTTCTATTCAAAGCATTTTCTGCTTGCTCTGCCAGACATGGTGGTGTCTCTGTGCTAAAGTACAGCTAATCATGGAAGCAAATTCCTCCTTTAGGGTATATTTTCTCTTAATAATGTACTTAGTCTATTATTTCTTTTGGCTTGTTTTCAAAATTTATTCAAATGTAAAACTTAGGGTTTAAACTATGTACTGGAAGAACAAATTTACTATCATATATACAGAATTTGTATTATTTATATTTTCATGTGGACCCATATTTGCCAAAAATCAAGGATCTTAATTGGTAATGGCTCAATTAAAATATAAGTACTTTCCCTCAGTAAAGAAGAAATATATGGTAATAGCTTCTACCTTATGTAATGAAGAATTTCTTCTAACCCTATTTCACAAGTAATAAGCAGGAGATTATATTTCTAAGATATATTTACACATAATATTTAATATTTACACTATACTTCCTAGAAGTGTATTCTAGATTGCAGAAGATGAGATAGCAAAGAAAGTTTTGGCACATACCATGGTATCTAGTCGACCAACAACTTCAAAGGAGAAATCCACACCTCCATTGCTCATTTCCTGGTGCACCTCCTCAATAGGTTTGTCATAGTCTTGAGGGTTGACACACTCACTGGCACCCACCTCTCTGGCCTTTGCAAATTTGTCTTTGTTGATGTCTACTGCAATGAACCTGGTTGCTCTTGCTGCTTTGCATCCAATGATAACAGAGAGGCTGACTCCACCCAGGCCAAACACAGCACAAGTGGAGCCCTGGGTGACCTGCGTTTGCAAAAATTGCAACAGTGGATTGCTAGTGATTGTTAGAAAGTGCCTAAGCCATATAAAGTACCAGGCCTTCTCACCTCTCAGGAGCTACTCAGACTCCATGTCAACCTGCTGCCAATCCCCTTTTAGCTATAATTACTTCAGGTTTAAATTGAGGCACTTGAACTAAACTAGTGGTTCTCAAACTTGACTGTATGCAAACTTCATCTGGGAGGTTTTGAAAATCATGGCATATTTAACATAGCCCATGCCAGTCAAATCAGACACTCTGTAGGTGTCATCCTGTCCCCAGTGCACACCAAGGGGAAGACCTAAGAACCAGTGAGCTAGACAAACTCTGAGGTCTAAATGCCAATGACTCATCCTGAAGAGAGTCACAGATCCATTGATAGCCAGGTACATTTTCCAGTACAGACTAAGAAACCACTGTGGGGATGATACAGATGGGTGAGGTTACTCTACAAAACTGAGCTATAATCTACTCACAGTATCAGGATTTAACTCCTTGGTCAGTTCAGTATCTTTCAGCACAAATGAGCTATGAGAACAGAAATTAGCTCAAGCATATACGATAAACCTTGTTATAACAAAACCCTAAACAATAGGGGACATTCAATAAATAACTTCAAGAAAATAACACTTGAAGCCAAGGTCATGCTTGTAGGTCTTTATCCCTGATATTTAAAAATAGTGACTATAGGGGCCAGGGAGATGGCTCAGTGGAATAAGCGCTTCCCTGGCAAGCTCAAGGGCCTGAGTTCGATCCCCGGTTCCACAAAAAAAAAAAAAAAAAAAAAAAAAAAAAAAAAAAAAACACCATAAAAATAGTAACTAGCACAAAAAATAGTTTATATTTTAATAATATTGAAACCCTTTCCCTAAGCATCCTGTGATTCTGCTTTACAGGTCAGCTCAGTTAGACTACCTGTACAACAAGTGATGTCACTGAATAAGGGCTAACAGGGCTTAGTGTTCAGTAACGCAACTCAAAATGGTGTGCTCTACACATATTCTCATGCCTTACATTGGCTGTGGCTGTTGAACAAGCCCAACATTCTCTAGTTATTCTTCAGTAAATCAAATATTTCTGTCCGAAGTAAACTCATGGTAATATTCCGTTAAGAGTGTCTACTCGCTCATTCTTTCACTAAATGTTATTACATACCATCAGGTACACTACCATTTTCAACTTAAGAGTACAAGTTTCATAGCATGATTTAAAAGTACTAATAACTGTGTATCATCATTTCATAACAAAGGAAATTCTAGGGCCGGCCAAATAGCTCAGGGGATTAAAGTGCCTGAAAGCAGGTGCAGGGGCTAGGGGTTCAATCTCTGGGCCTGCCATGCTGGCCCCGCACTTGGGGTGCACTGAGAGGGCAATTGAGACTGGGCATGGTGGCGCACACCTTAAATCCAGCTTTTGGGAGGCTGTAAACAGGTGGATCACTATGAGTCCAATCTAGTAGGAGACCCTGAACACTCTATAGACCCTTTCCTAAAATACAAAAAAGGGGGATTCTAGTCTCATATCTAATACTTACCAAATATAAAAATTTGAGTAAATAACTTTTTGTGTCTGAATCGGTTTCATAAAGCCAATGATGCTATGACATTTGGGAAAGAGAGTTGCATATAATGAACTATTGATACACACCACTTGATGTGTGCATGTTGTGGCTAGGCATATATGAAATCCCATAATAAATGACAGAAAGGTGATGCTTCATTACTTTTACACAGTGGGTTACCCTTGATCTGGGGCTGTTTCAAGTAACATTTGGAATATGCTATTAATTCAAATCTTGGACACAGCACATACACACACTTTTTGTCCTTAAGAACAACCTCTAAGTCATTGTCCTTTTCTGTCTCATGGGCCAGAGTTTCTGGTTCCTGACTCCCAGGGATGGGAGGAAAGATGATTTTAAGTCATCCCCACTGAGATCATAGATAGGGAGGATAGGCTGAGTTTGTGCCTGGGGAGCTACCCCAGGTTGTTTCCTATTTTAAAAATTGCAATAGAAAAAACTCTACAATTATTTCCATTGGCTCCCTCCAACCTAGCATACCTTATTGTCCTAAAGTATGTATCTCTGAATGGTAACTATAGAACAAATGACAAAATGAATCTTTAGGTCTAAAACTCAGTATTCTCATGAAAACAAATAGTGAATAGATATTGAAAAGTAAATCTACTTTTCTTACTATTATTAACAACATTGTCATTTGTGATAAACAGGTGAATTTTATAAGACATGTTTTCACTTTCATTTTAGGCCCACTTTTATATAAATTCAGAACTCCACAAATTTGTGAAAATAACCTGAAGTCCCTGGAAGGAACTGCTTCCCTGTGGGTGCTGTCAGGCTGAGTGTACATAGTGTCATTGGACATGGCCAAGCCTACCTTTGCAACTTTGACAGCAGATCCATAACCGGTAGAAAATCCACAGCCAATGAGACAGACTTTCTCCAGGGGTGAGGCTGCATCGATTTTGGCCACGGAGATCTCATCCACCACTGTGTACTGGGAGAAGGTGCTGGTACTCATGAAGTGGCGGATGGGCTTTCCTCTGCAGGTGAACCTGCTGGTACCATCCTGCAGTTTGCCCTGAGGCTGTAAAATACTGTTCAGTGAGACATGCAAGCACACAAAGACATGAGACAGAGCACAACTAATACGCAGCTCATTAGCAGAATAAGAAAAAGAGAGACACCTACTCATTTTTCTCGCAGAGGTTGCTTTCTGGGTGTTTACAACTTCTGCATTTTCCACACTGGGGAGTAAACAGTGGGGTGACTTTATCACTTGGAGGGGAAATACCATAAATTATTTTTCAATTTCTACCCAGGAATTAAAAAAGAACTTAAAGATTAAACATAGAAAAATGTATGTTTGAAAAATTCTCCAAGACATAAAATCCAGTCACAAAAATATCACTAACTATTGCTTTCAGCTTTAGTATTCATTTGGATTATGTGTCTGAAGAAACATAAAGAGGACATAAAAGTTTGGAGGCAACAATGGTTAAAATTTGTCTCCATTATGCTAATAGTTAACATTATTGCACACACTGATTTTATTTGGGAACTTTACGGTTCATAACATTAAAATCTTGATGAACCTTAAACCTAAATACACATATAAGGGCCACCCAAATACCTCAGGAGATTAAAACACCTGGAAGCAGTTACAGGGGATTGGACTTCAATCCCCAGGCCTGCCATGATGGCTCTGCCCCTGGGCCATGCTGAGACAGCAATTGAAACTGGGCATGGTGGCATGGACTTGTAATTCCAGCTCTTGGGAGGCTGTAAGCAGGTGGATCACTATGAGTCCAATCTAGTACTGAGACCCTGAAAACACTGTAGACACTTAACTAAAATAAAATAAATAAAAAATGAATAAATAAATGTATATATTACATAATGATATATATTACATTTTTTATATAATGTAATTTTTAAATTTTATACAATGTAGCACAAAACTAGATATAATACATTATATTATAAATACACTTATATAATTTTAATTTTATCATATGTTAGAAAGATGACATGTTTTGTACAACCTCTCTTCAATAAAATTAAGTAAAAATAAATGTAATTATCACAATAAGTTTTTATATTAATTTTATTGGGAAACAAGTAACAATGAGACAGTTTCAAAACAGTTTAAGAGGGCAGTTACAATAATTCATACATTGCCTATAGTTGTCTTCATAGTACTTATTCAGACTATAACATTAGACATAATATCTTGTCTAAACACTACAAATTTAAAACTTTCTTCTACTTGAACTCCTAGAAAGTAGTTGTATATATCTATGCTCTTTTGTACATACAGATTTTGTTTCACTACAAAATGGTACTTTATTTATATCCTCCTTTTTTGTTCACTTTGGTCAGATAGCTATTCCAGTTCCACTCATATATTGTAGGTGCATGAACTCAGCAAAGTAATCCAATATAGTCTAGTAGTCCATAATGATAGTGGGTTTTCTATAGGACTAGCAATGCAGAAGTTGTTGACTTGAGATTTTAAAGCTCAGCATATTCATATGGTTTTACTTTTTATACTTCACTTTTATACTTTTCTGCTGGATGGTTAAGACAAGATAAAGCAAGACCTATATAAAAAGAAATGAAACTTTTGTATCTCACAAGATCAGTCAAATCCTCTCAGGACTTATCATGACACCCTGTACTGCAGTTTGTAGATCCTTCATGAGTAAGACTGTAAAGATATTGTTTCTATAATTTCCCTCTCAGTGTGTTTGTTATCTGTGTAGAAGAATGCTATTGAATCTTGGGTATTGACTTTGTATCCTGCTATGCTACTGAATTTCTGTATTTTAGGGTCTTCCAAGTAAAGTATCTAGTCATCTGCAAATAATGATAATTTAGCTTCTTTACCTATTCTTACTCCTTTTAATTCTTTCTCTTGTCTAATGGCTGTAGCTAATGATTCCAGAACTATATTGAACAGGAGTGATGATAAAGGACATCCTTGTCTTGTACCAAATCTAAGAGTAAAAGATTTCAGTTTTTCCCCATTTACAACTATGTTAGCCACTGGGTTTTCATAAATGGCTTTTACCATATTGAAGTAGAGGCCATCTATTCCAATTTTCTGTAAGACTTTGAAAATGAATGAGTGTTGGACTTTGTCAAAAGCCTCTTCTGCATCAATGGAGATGATCATGTGGTTTTTAGTTCTCACTCTATTGATATAGTGTATTACATTGATAGATTTTCAAATATTTAACCATGCTTGCATCCCTGGGATGAATCTTACCTAGTCATGGTGTACAAACTTCTTGATGATTTGCTGTATTCTATTTGCTAGAATTTTATTGAGGATTTTGGCATCTACATTCATGAGGGAGATTGCCCTGTAGTTCTCTTTTTTCTTTGCGTCTTTACATAGTTTTTTTTTTTATCAGTATAATACTTGCCTGCAGGAATGATTTTGGGAGGATTTCTTCCTTTTCAATTTCATTGAAGAGTTTGAGGAGTATAGGAATAAAGAAATTTACATCTTCTGTAAATGTCTTCTAGAATTCAGCTGTGCATCCATCTGGACCTGGATTTTTCTTTGTCATTAGGTTCTTTTATTACATGTTGTATTGCACTGGCTGTTATTGGGCTATTAAGAGTGGATATATCTTGTCGACTCAGTTTTAGTAATTTGTACCTTTCCAGATATCTGTCCTTATCATGCGTATCTTCTGTTCTATGAGAGTAAAGATTCTCAAAGTAGCTATTGATAATCTTCTCAATTTCCACTGGGCCAGTGGTAATTACACCTTTTTCATTCCTTATTGCTGGTATTTGAAATTTTTCTTTCCTCCTTTTTGATGAGGTTAGCTAGGGGCTTATCCATTTCACTTAGTCTTTCAAAGAACCAGCTTTTGTTTCATTAATTTTTGAACTTTTTTTTTTATCTCAATGAATTAATTTCTGTTCTAATCTTTATGATTTCTTCCCATCTTTGAGCTCTGGGTTTGGTTTGCTCTTCCTTTTCTAGATGTTGGAGGTGCACATTAGGGTATTTGTTTATTGCAATTCTGTTTTCCTAATGTGTGAGTTAACAGCTATGAATTTCCTCTGAGATCTGATTTCATTGTATCCCATAAATTCTGATAAGTTGGAGGTCAATTTTCATTGAATTTTAGATATTGTTGAACTACTTGTCTAATTTCATCTGTGACCCATTGATTGCGGAGTAGGGTGTTGTTTAATTTCCATGTATGTAGGTGGGGGTTCTGGTTTATTTTGTTGTTTATTTCCAGTTTTGTTGCACTGTGTTCAGATAATGTGCATGGGATAATTTCTGTTTTCTTGCATATACTTAAGCATGACCTATGGACTACTATGTGGTCTATTTTAGAAAATGACCCATCTGAAGCTGAGAAAAATGTGTATTCAGCTGTGTTTGGATGGAACACTCTGTATATGTCCACCAAGTCCATTTCTTTCAAGGTCTGGTTTAGTTCTGTTATTCCCTCGCTAATTTTTTGTCTGGTTGACCTATCTTTTTGGGATAAGGAGGTTTTAAGGTCTCCTGCTAAGATTGTGGTACTGGATATTAGATTTTTCATGTCCATTAAGATTTGCTTTATATTGTTGGGTGCTCCCAAGTTTGGTTCATAAATATTTATGAGTGTTAACTTTTCCTCATGTATTTTTCCCCTAACCAGTATATTGTCCTTCTTTATTTCACCTGATCATTCTTGGTTTGAAGTTGCGACTGTCTAAGAATAGGATTGCTGCCCCTGCTTTTTTCTGAGGAGCTGGGGCATGTAGTAACTTTTTCCATCCTTTGACTTTCAGCCTATGAATGTCTTTATGAATTAAATGTGTTTCTTGTATACAGCATATTGTTGAATTTGCTTCCTAATTCACTGTGCCAGTCTATTTCTCTTAATTGGTGAATTGAGTCCATTTACATTGATGATTAGAATTGAGATGTATTGACTTATGATTGACATGTTATTTACCTGTTGTTTTTTACTCCTTTTCTCATGTGTTTAGTTGTTCACCCTATTTGCTTTGTTGCTTCTGATCTCATTTGTGGAGTCCTGATCATTTTGGTCCTTCTCTAGAA